TCCACTTACTTTATATGAAATTGAAGTTTATGATCTCTTCAAATTTTGAGGTTATTTAAAAAGTGGCGTTTATTTGGTATTGGAAGTTACTTATTCAGAAATTAACCTTATGTAATAATACACTTTTATGATAACAATACACTTTCGTGACGCCTAAATTAAGTCAATTCCAATTTCAAACATTGCAAATAAACAGTTGCCTGTTTGAAAATGGCCAAATACATTAATAATTTCAATAGATTATTATATTTTAGGATATCTTAAGAGCAAAAAGAATTGCACAGAACAACTTCAGAACATTAATAGCGTAAGTAGTATGGAAAACAAAATTACTAGAATGCGAATAGAATAGTTATTCTAAACGATGAAGTAATAAACTGACAATAGTTAGACTTAATATTTTTAAATTTGTCTTATGATATTCTATACCTTGGCAAGATTGTGATTGTGAAATGGTTTGAGACTGGATGATGTCATACAGAAATAGAAACACTAGTTTGTACAGACGGATCTTGTTCCGTTGCACTGGAGTTGCACTGCACGATATTTGAACAAGAATGTATAGCTTCATGTGCTGTTGACTGTTCAAGGTTTTATTATGCTGTTCATAATTTATGCAGTTCCATCAGAAGTTTCAGGTTTACCAATAATGCATAGGTAGTGCCTTTAGGGGGCGCCTCCAAAAAGAGCCTGCTTCGCTCACGGCGCTAGCAAAGTAAACGTGCTATTGCTTCACTCACTCATTTAATTGCACCACTTACACTCAAATTTTCGATCATTACTGGGAAAAATATAAGGTGTGTATGTAAGTATTCCATTTTGATCATGTGCCTACAAGAGGACGCCATTGTATTGATTGCACCCGGGCACTACATGAGCTAGCGCCGCACAGTGGGCGCAAATTGATAATTCTTGGACATAGGAATAACTTGTGGAGTATCGAGCTAATTTTTTTTATATGATAGATAATAACATTCCTAACAATTTTATTCTTGTATAATTTATTGAAAAGTTGATAGTATCAGAGGAAAAAAAAATATTTTTTTTTGTATGGAGAAATATACATTTTATTTTTTATCTCAAAATATACGAGAATTTAATGTGTGTGGGTTACTTACAGTATAGTTCCAATCATTTTCTATGTACAAAAAAAAATCCGTCTGCATGTACTTAGATTGGACCTATATTGCAAATAATTTATAAAAGCCATAGCGCAACTACGTTCAGCACGGTCAACTTTACGTCTGTTATTTAAAATCTACTATATGCTACTAGTTATAAAAACGGCTTAAATTCAATTGTACCTTACAAAACTTTATAACTCAGAGTCGACGGCTTAGCTTTGGCAACCGCTATTTGTGCAATGCGCAAAAGGAAGTAAGTGTGCCTACAGCTCCGGTACCGGTAATCTAGAAAGTAGGGAGGGTACTGTACGTGCACCCGGGGCAGCTCACCTGAGGCACTAGCCTCTCGAAGAACCGGATGAAGTCAAGTGACAGAGGTTTGTGACAACCCTGTACACTGGCTGATCTGGGGTCAGAACCTGAAATTATAAGGATCCTGTGTGCGCACAAGTTATAGTGCCCTTCTCGTCTACCCTAATAGAGGTAGAGAGGGTCACTATAATCAAAACTAATGTAGAAAGATATGGGGTTGTACCTTATAAAGCTGAGCTGTTGACCGTACCTTAGAGCGGTTACACATGGCGACATTTAGCAGCGATGCAAACGCAATGCAAACGCGATGCTACACTTGGGATTTATAGGCGATTGCATCGATCGCGCCCATAAATCGCAAGTGTAGCTATGCAATCGCGCGTTTCGTGAATGTGCATTTGCATCATTGCTAACAGTCGCCTTGTGTATCCACTCTTACATTGTCAACAGTATAATTATTCTATGCAGAGTGAACTGAAAAAATACAGCAGTAACTATAGTCCTGGCTATAATTTTCTTTCAATGACTACGTAATTGATTCTAGTAGACTGAACTTCTGTGTCAACGAGTTGATTGAAGTATAGACTACTATTTGTTACCAAATTCATTTCTTCGTAACGTTTTTAATCCATTCTGTTTTTGAGCTTAATATAACCAATATTGGCCATATAAATAAGATAAGCTCAATAATAGTAAACTACCTATCCCAAGTATAGTCCGATGTCCTGAGAACATAAACATTTATCGAGTAGGTGTTTGTGGTAGGTACCGTCGTTATTTCCGATTTCCATAATACAAGGGCTTTAATTACTTACTTTGGGTTCAGAGAATCGTGTGTGATGTTGTCTAATATGTATTATTATAAAAAATGGAGATTAAACAACACAGATCTTTGCAGAGAAATAAATAAATAGTTAAAGTCATCCGGTTTGTGATATTAATAACTAATGATTTATATTTTCAGCACAGAAGTGAATTGGGAATTGGCCTGAAGCGAAATTCATTCATCAATCGTAAATCCACATTCATTCTGTCGGATGAAATAAAAGAAGTCATAAAAGCCACACAGACTGTCACTTTGCCAACTAGGTAGCCCATTTTGATAGCTTTTATTATACTTCGAAATATGGATTGCCGTAATAATTAAGCTGGAAAACCGTTAAGTCAGGATTACAAAATTGACGACCGCTGTGGTCGAGTGGCTTGGACACCGGATTTCATGGTGTAGACATCTCTGATGTCCCGGGTTCTGTCCTTGTCCGGGTGAATGTAGAAAACTAAATTTTCCATATTGTCTCGGGTCTGGGTGTTTGTGGTACCGTTGTTGTTTCCGATTTCCATAAAACAAGTGTTTTACTCGTAGTTACTTACTTTAGTATAAGAGCAACGTATGTGATGTCACACTTATAGACATGTAAATAAATAAACGCATACTTTATGTACACTTAGTATACTTACAGGTATTATGTTAGGTTAAGTACATAACTAAGTTAGAGTTCGTCATATAATGTTGACGTAGTTTTTAGTGGGTTAAATGAATATTATAACTACAACATTCTAAAAAAATATTGCTTCTCATGAAAGTGTACAGTAAAGATTGTTTTTATTTTACTCATGCTATAGCGCCATATTTTTTATATTAGTATACAAACATTGCGTAAAACTCTTTGAAGCCCATTACGGTCAGTGCCGTCACAAAGGATGGGATTTAATGCAGGTATCTAGGTCCTTTTATATAATTTTATATAATCCTTTTATATTTGTCATTAGTCTTACTAGTTTTATTTTTCATTAAATATTGTAAATTTTGTTTCATTTGGCGCCTTTGAAATTTTTTTATTTATGTAAATTAGGCAACTATGACCCATCTAATATATACCTCAAAGACTAACATACATAATATAAACTAAATAACTAATTTACGCGAATTGCACCCGTCGGTAACATGCGGCGTGATATAAATCTTTTTAACCATTTGTTGGCGCTTTAACTGCTTTGCTTCGCTGAGAAATAGTTTTATCGAAATAAGAAATGAATCAATATCATCATCATCGAATCAACAGAACGCTCACGGGCGGCCGCCATTGCAAAAAAACATATTTGATGAGAAAGGACGTGGTTTTGTTTTATTTGAATTTTTAGTGAAAAGATCTTGTAATATAATTTGTAACAGTCGCTGGAGTTTCAATTCTGTCTAATAAACTTTATACATTGTTGTGGGTGATTTACCATTGTCATCCAGTTTCGAATGCATTCATACTTCTGTAAATATCCAACATTGTGGAACTTGTTCAATGAACTTTATAAGTAAATTTTATTCACTTATAGTAGCACCAGCCCCCGTAGTATGCCGCCTCGATAAAGCTATTATATCCACATTTAGCTGTCAAATTTGAGTGATAAACGGCATTTTACAATTTTATCGCAATAGCGAACATGGTGAGCACCGTGACGTCACATTTTTATGTCATCGCCGGCGACCAATGACTGCGAAAGATTAACACAGTGCCAAACATGGCTGACCTTGCAGTCGCAGCTGATTTTAAAACATTTGCACAGTAATTTTATCAACGCAAAAATTGAGCGCGACAAACGAGATGAAAATACATTTTTTGTAACAACAAACTAGTAGAGTAATTTCACATAAAAATAATTGAATATCAATTCGATAAAAATTTAAATACATTTTTTGTTTCATCGTTTTCGCGGCGATGATTAAACGGCAAAGATAGCTATATATGCAATTTTATATCGTTGTCCTTGTTAAACACAGATCTGCAACAAGCACGTAGAAAGCTTCGTAAGGTCTGCTGGTTAGTTCCGTGACTTACTTGGCCGAGCATCTAGTCGAATAATATCATGGTACTAAAACATCGTGACATTCAATATTTTTTGCGGCTACACCAATTTCCTGGTCTCAAACTAGGAAATTCTCTGTACTAAGAGTAACAAGAACAACAAAATTCACTCTGAGGCACTTCCCAGAACTAATTTATAAAAGTTTATTTCCCAATTTGCACTACCGGCAATCGAACCCGGGACGTCCTCATCCAGCGCCCACTATATAAGCCGTTGGACCACTGAGGTCGTCTTTGTTATATAAATATAAAATATAGTTCTTATATAAATTCACTCATTATCTTGGACTGTGAAATGAAGACACTAGTTTTCATTACAGTCAACAATGTCCGTGTTACCAGTAGAACTAAATAACAACATATGTGTTCCTGGGTAAAGTCCTTTATTTTTATTTTATTATTTATTTAAGTTATGACGATACGACTTAAATGTTAACTCCTTAGAAAGTTTGTATTGCGATCTCTTACAAACCGTCGAAATCACGGTAGGAAAAAATGCTTATTTTTTATAAAAAATGTACTGAAGCTCGCCTTTATAATTTCAAGAAATTTTGAAACAACAAAAGCGTCGGTCCTATTTCTTAGAAAAATTGTTGCGGTTCTACCTAATCAACCAAAAAATTCTATCGAATGTAATTTACCTTTTCGCTGATTTCGATTTCCTTATTTTTTAGACAGAATTTTAAATAAATTTTCTTTGTTTCAGGTCTAACGTAAACACAAGCAATGAAAACTGATGATAATTTAATGAAAACAGTTAACGACTTTAAATAGACCCAAGAGGAAAAAACACACAAGATGGCGAATAGTACAACAAAAAATTTGTTGGATATTTTTAACATTTTTGCTTTAGGGAATTCAACAGATGGAAGGATGAACAAGACTCAGTTACGGTCGGTGCTTAGAGAGATGGATAGTGAAGCTTTCGAGTCATTATTCGTGAAAATGGTGAATGAATTGAACTTGACATTCACTTGCGGGTATTGTGAAGGTAGCTTTAGAGATGTGGTTCATGCGTATAACAAAATTCATGGATACGTCAGTTTGTTGGTAAGTATCCATGCTCACTTTACTTACATCACGTTTAATTTTGATAGGTGCTTAAGATTTAACTAAATATGTCTAAGGCACAGAAGCCCTGGTAAACTAATGGTTTCACCGCCTCTCAAGCAGAGGGTCGTAGGTTCGAATTCGGGCTTACACCGCTGAGTTTTTACAGAAAACGTCATGAGCAAACCTGCACACGTCTGCAAAGTAATGATGAATGAAGGTGATGTGTGTGACATTCCCTACAGCCCAAGCACTCTCATTGTGAGAAGAGGACTGTGCTCAGCAGTGGAACTATATAGTCTAATCATACAAATGATACGCTTATTTAACAGCGTTAATAACTTAGAGAATTCACATTGATATTGCGATGTTTGTCTTCGTAACTGGTATTTCGCGTACGACTACGAACAAAAGGTGGTCCAGGTGGTACTGCCACCTTACAATGTTTCAGCATGCAAGCAGTAATATATATAAGCTTTATCGTGTTCCGGTTGTAAAGGCTGCTGGAGAAACTACAGACGAAAGGGAATTGTCAACTTTATGTCTCAGAACGCAGTAACAATGCCCCTCGATCTTTGTGATTTTACACTTTCAGAGCTGTTATGAAAAAGCATGTCGGTTACCGCCACTCCCACAGCTTGTTCGACCTATCACTTGATATTATAAAAAAGAAGTAATACAATTATCTCTTATTCACATTTAAACATTGACTTACAAATAAATGGACGACGGGTCTAATACAAAAACCAAGAAAAAAATGTCCCAAGTCAACCTATTTAAACGTAGTGACATGTAAAGGAATACGAAAAAGCTAAAACGTTGAATTTAAATTGTAATGTCATCGCAGTACTGCCTAATTAAGCTTGCTTCGCTGTCAGTCGAACAAACGTAAACTAAAGCGTGAATGACGCTCTGTATACGATTTTAACGCCCTATAAGTTCGGACACTTTTTAGCGCGGACCCGACGTCCATATAATTGTAAGTCAATGCATTTGGATTGTAATTATTACATATGTTTTCTTTTAAGAGTCGATACTCGACTCATAAAAGAGCCTCAGATCGAACCGTACTGAATCGGTTCTATTGCTCGAGTCAAGCGGCAGGAACACTGGTTTTATTTCAGAATTTTTTTTTTTACAAACTAATTTAAAGCCCTTTGAAAAATGTACATCGTATACTATACGTGTTCTATTTAGTTCAATGGATATAAAAAAGTCATTGGTATATGCAAAATACCTATTGAAGACAGCGGTTTTGTTGTAAAATTTTGAGGTAACTTTGTGTTTTCTTTTTCTATCGTGAAAATTTTTAGGAATCGTGTTTTCACACTGCATTGATGCGGTGTCCTCAATTTTCCTATATATTTTTTATAAAGTGATTAATTCAACACTATCACTGTTACGCGGAATCAACCAATTTGAGACTGCATCAACTCTTAAGCAACTGAAATAATACATGACGCGAACTCTAAATAAATAAAGCTGTCTCTAATATATAATAGAATCAATCCCATACAGTAGAACTTAATAACGATCCCCGATTCAACGAATACCTACCCACAAGGCTGAAAAGGGTTACAAAAGACGGAACGTTTTAGGCTAAGAACTCACGGAGCGGTGCTCACCCGCATCCGCCGCGGCTGCGGGACAGTCGTTTTATTTCAATACTCACGCACGAGTCGCACGACACCACAGGTTTGTGCGGTCGCGTGTCTGCCGCGGTTGCGGAACGGACCGCAAACTTGGCAAGAGATGATTGCAAGTCACGCGGTTTTTTACGATCGGTAAAGACCATCGCCAACCGCGAGGATTACCGCGAGCAATCAGAAGCAGTGGGCCTGCAACCGCGGCGGGAGCGGTTGTAAACAGTTCCGTGTGTTCTTACCCTAAAAATTCCTTTTATTGGGTAGTTAATGAGTTTCTTTCGAAGAGATTTTAATTTTATTTTTATTTGTCATCGTTGCAATGATTTAAATTGTAATATTCTGACATTGATAACATGAAATAAATAATTATATTCTACTCGATAACGTTGAAATATCTTCGAGTTTTGAACTTTTTCAAACATAATTTTTCCAAGTTAAAAACTCGGAAATTTCCTATGGATTTCACACTTTGGTGACTATTACTTATCGTGTTATTTTCAATTGTTCAGTCAACCCTACATTTAAGCCAAGGTTGTTTCCATCACGTTTCGTAAATAGGTGCTAAATATTAATTAGAAATATCTAACCAAGGAACATTGGACTCTGATAACAAATCTTTAAACGTCTTTTAGATTGTTCTGGAAGTGAATATGATACAGCGAACAATTTTGACAGGAATGTCGAATATATCCCATTGAATAATCCGAAAATTGAGTCTATATTAAAATTATACTGAAACAGAAATTTTGATTAAATTGCACTATTTATAATATTAAACTATTTTATGGTATTTTTTTGTTTGTAATGTAAACCTAAGATGAAAACACATATAGTATCCTTATTCAAACGTAAACATGATGATGTAAGGAAAAAAGAGATTATAAACTTAAAACTAATGAGAATAAAAACTTACACATATGATACATTTGACGATACTAACGCGAGCGACCAGTTGAAATGATTAAGGAGATTATTATGAAGTCTGTTAAAATTATGACCAGATAGATGTTAGCAAACTAGGCGGAATGTAGATTTTCTACTGACATCTAGCTGTCTTTATTTTATTTCTCCTTTCATAGGTCTGCACGTATGCTCGCAAAATTTTACCATAGTAAGTAGCAGTGTAACTGTTATGGACAGGTATATCACTTATCATCAGGCGAACCACTAGCCCATCCCGTCACTTTGTATCATAAAAAGCCTAACTTTATGCAAGGCAAACAAAAATTACGTAATTATGAGCCTATCAGTTAGTAATTTAACATTGATATATAAAATCAATATCAATTTACTAAGTTCCGAAACGGCGGAATGGATTTTGACAAAATTATCGTAAGTCTTAGAGCAGTTACACATGGCAACTTTTAGCAGCGATGCAGTCGCTAATCGTCTACCTTTACATACGCGCGAGATTTTAAGCAGCGATGCAAACGCGCAACTGCATCGATACAAACGCGCGGTTGCATCGCTACACTTGGGATTTATAGGTAAATGCATCTGAGGTGAAGCTGCGGAGCCTTGAATACCGGCCTGTATAAAGTTGCCTGCTTGTCAGTATTTTACACGATATATCACAGAGAGTGTGCACGATTTAAGTAATTACGCATTCCCCTGTCCATCATCAGGGGGACCAGACGTAGGTTGGGGTTCCAAGGTGGATATTCCAACGATTCGCACGAAGCATTTCGCTTCCACATTTATATGGCGAACGGCGATGGGGCGGAAGTCTCTACCTGCAGACTTGTGCCCTGAACGATAAACTTGGCCCTTTGCAAGGCGAGAGTAAATAGGCATTTCTTAGATGTACATGCTCCATCGTCGATTTCATCATCACTTTAAATCAGGTGGGATAGAGGTCAAATGCGTCTTTATTTTTTAATAAATAAAAAACTTATAACCTAAAAGAGACCTACTCCAACCAACACAATGCAGTGAGAGCAAAGATCATTAGCAGGCAACAGCGTGCAAGCGAGAATGAGATAATAAAATACCAGATAAATTAAAAAAATACCGTTACACACTTAAATATATTATAACGTATAATAGATAACATCAATATACATATACGTAATTATAGGAACATAACATAAATATTAAAAAAATAACAACATGATTACAAAGAGAGTTCAGCAATAAAGTGCGCTGTCAACCTTTTCGTGAATATGATATACAGTTTCAAGTGTACTTATAACAAAATATTATCCTTTGGGATGGTGGAAAGTCTCATGGACACCATAGGTGTAGACTGACTTATGGACTAAATAAAACCTCCACCCCTGTTAGTTTAGTTACTTACCAACCTTGCTTTTGCTGTTGCAGCGCCCTCAAGTCTGTTAGTTATTTTCTGTCATTATTGTATACTTTTAAAATTATATATACATATACTTCGTTATACAAACTAAAAATGTTGCAACGTTGTGTTATATAAACGGTGTGGTGTAGAAACAAATGGAATCTCTAGCGTGTAGTTATAAACTGACCCCACGTGAGGAAAGTCAAGGATGTTGTTACAACATCCTCCTTTCCAACAAAAACATATTTAAGTCGTATAGCCAATGACGTAACTCTATCAGTTGATGTAAACACACTTTACAAAAATTTTTTGGATTCAGTTTATTTTTACATAACATACCTATATATACATAAACAACTGTAGTCAGATGTTCTGACGATTGATCTACTCGATGATTTGTTTTCTACTAATTATTTGTTTGTTGTAGAAGAATGGTATAAGTAATGCAGACTTTTACCATAGTGTAATAAGATAGCTCCATACAAACGTAGCAGCGCGGCTTATATGTGTGCACGCTCGCCGTGCGCCGTGTACGGACGCACACATTCGCATAATATCGCGGTGCACTCGCGTTGAATAGCGAGGGTCATCGCACGCGCCATTCACTATAGGATTGAAGAATTCGCTCGTTGTTTAAAAAAATATTTCTTGTGTTTGTGGTGGTTTGAACAAGAGTGTCTCAAATCCAAAATTATTCCGCTTTTCATTTCTATTTCATAAATATACTCTCATAATCGATATACCAATCCGCGATGCTGATATAAAAATATCAATACGTAAGTACTGCATTTAACAAATGTTATTTCAATATAGCACGAAAATACTGTAATGAGCACCTTATTTTTCTTTTCAAATTATGTTTACAACCTCTAGGTCATCTAGGTATAACTAAAACAATAATGTGACAACCCTACCTCTAACCGAAGCGAAGACATTGAATGACGGACTCGAACAAGCGGGAATTGCGCTACTTGTCTTATTATATTATACTTTTGCGTT